CTCGCTTCGGGACCGCCTTCCATGCAGGGCGGAGGTGGGAGTGTACTGTGGCATCCTCCCCACCCCACCTTGGAGCATGGCTGCTCTGGAACACTGGTGGGGAACAGGACTTAGCAGAGAATTCTGCAGGGTTTGCTGTTTTGAAGCAGCTTGAGTGTAAGATGTGAAAATGGGAATCTAGAGCAGAAAATGTAGCAAGCAAGGTTCTGAGATCGGATGATGGGCAGAAATTTACAAGGAGATTCAAGGCTCTACCGAACCTTTCTACAGGTCAGCTCCATCAAAAGGACATTATTTAAGATGTCACCACATATGTTGTAATCTTGACACCTACAGGGAGAATTTCTTGACCTTAACTACTAGTTACTTACAAGGTTTACAGTGAGAAAACAGGTTTGACAATTACATATTGGTGATTGGTAATCTAGACCCTCGAGGCTATGAGGTGAAAGGGTATCGCTGGTAAGTTTTAGGGCACAGTCATAGAATGAAATCTGTGGAGGGTGTGGTCAAGGGTATAGGAGTTGGAGATTATTTCTTAAAAAGCTAAGCAAATTACAGAAAACCTGGAGTGGGGGCATGGAATACAAAATTAGGTTAATTCTTACAGAACTGTATTTCTTTAAATAGGTACCATAAGAAGGTTTTCATTAGCTGACTTGGGGAAGGGGCATGCTGGGTTCTTTTTTCCTGGGGAAAATACATGTTTGATGGGAAATGATATAGTTTGCCAGGAGTTTGTTTTACACACAACTTGAATGAATGCATCTGTGGTTTAAAAAAGAGCCAACCTGTTTCCCACCAGAGGCAGTCGCATTATTACCAGATTTCCTTCAGTCCGAGATTACCTGATGCCGACCAGACTTCTTTTTCCTTCTCTGAAGGCCCCACAGCTTTCTGAGTTTATGCCACTCATCTGAGACCTTTCCCTCTGAATGATTATATTTTCATTCTCTAGTCTACTCCTTTTGAAATAGTTCTGGTGATATACTCGGAGCAATTCAGCATAATGATCGCATTTGCTTTTTTCACTGTGCACCTATGATGAAAATTGATTCGCTCGCTTTAATTCAGAAATCTTCACGGCAAGTTGGGCCAATGGCCTTTGCACTCAAGTAAGGTTTGTTTACCAGTCTTGTAGCCATACTTGGCAAATCTTAGCAAATAGAAACTTCTCCCCCTTATTTGTTCTTGCAATTGCTCACATGTGCTTTCCTGACTATGCTTAGAGACTACTGCATCTTACAATAACTGGCCTGATTGGCAAAGTAGGCTTGCCAATAGCTCAGTCACTCCATAATGCTTTGGTTTTGAGAGTTGGAAAACTCTGAGAACTTAAGGGAACCAAACTCAGGAATCCCAAAGTTGGTTGCATTGTGCCATTGGTTTAAGGGCTGGACGTAGGACCTGTCTGCAGCTGAGTGAACTAGATGCATTTGGGTTTGAGTTTTTGTCACGTAATGAAATGTAAGTCAGCCCTAAATAATCAAAACACTTTATTTTATTTTTCTTTTTTTAATAGGAACTTTCTGAAGAAAAGTGATGTGTAAAACTTTGATATTTAAGACAATAAAGTTTTTATCATAAGACTCTTGTTTGATCAGTTTCTTTTAAATTGAAATGGTTCATGAACTTTTATCTTTGTCTCATCTCTCTGCCCCTTTAAATAACTTATACCCAGGCTCTGTGACTTGTGGCTGCGTACCTGAACCCCAGAAAAAATGAGCATCTCCAAACCGTTAAAGTAACTTCCAGGTAACCATTGCAGGAGGCCAGCTACCTGCTTATGTAAAAATTATGCATTTTGTTACCACGCGAGCATTTGATTCACAGTGATAAAAAGGACGCTGGTAATGGGCTTTTTAGTTCAGACTGGTCTCTAGAGCCAGGCTGCTTGGGTTTGAATTCCAACCCTGCCACTTACTAGCTATGTGACTTTGGGTAAATTGCCTTACCTTTCTGTGCCTCAGTTTCCTCATCTGCAAAACAGAGACTTGGGGGTTGTAGGGATTAGACCACCTAGTGTGAAGTCCTCCAAAAAGTACTGGCACCTAATAAGTCCTCATCATTAGATGTTAGCTACTATTATTCATTGTATCACGTAAGAGACAAGAAAGCTAAATGGAATTTCCAGAAGTTGGGCAAGTCTAAGTCTAATGTGTGACAAGGGAGGCCTCTGCCCATGCTCTGCGTCATTCAGGGTGTCAGGTCTCTGCCCGTGGGCTTCCAAGGTACTTTGGACATTAACATCCAACTGACATAACAGGAAAAGAGAATGAGGGTCGTCCATTGAGTTTATATACCGTCCTGGAAGGGGTGTAACATCAGTAACTTGCCCACATTTCACTGGCCATGAACTTAGTCACATGGCCACACCAAACTGCAAGGGAGGCTGTGAAGTCTGTGCTGCTGTGCCGGAGAAGATGGGCACAGTGGTGGTCAGCTGGCCAACCTTCAGTTTCACTCACACAGGCCACACTTGCCCTCGTCCCCAAGGAGAGGCCCCAACTCAGAGTGGAGGCCAAGCCCGTACACTGCCGATATTGACCTCCCTGCCTTCGCCTCCTGTCTCCTTCCCCTCCCTCGGCTCTAAGCCACCCTGACCATATTCCTGGACCTCGCCTTGCTGGCTTCCACCTCAGGGCCTTCTCCGTATTTCCGCTCTGTCCCCAGATACCTTCATGGCTTTTTCTCTCACTTCCTTCAGGCTTTTATTCAAATATCGCCTCAGGAAGGCCTCCTCCGGCTTCTTTATCTAAAATTGTAGCCACCCATCCCCCCTTTCTTAATTTTCCTCCTGAGCACTGACCACTACCAACATGCATTTCGTTTCTGTACCTCGTTTATTATCTTTCTCCCGTTACAACGTAATT